TTTCTTTTTAAAAAATGCGTTTCTAAAGTGCATAAACTTTTGGGATTCACTGTATAGCCAATACATCCTTAAACACATTTTACGTACTTCAAATATGTATTATACGGATACGGATTTTATATTACACATACAATCGCTATAGCTAATTTGTTAACACTCTCTACTGTTTTGGTACAAAGGTGTCCATCGTTGATCATGAATTTCAACTATAATACTCGACGGTTGTTCTTGCAAATAAATTGATCATAATTAGCATAATTGATTTCTCTTTAACAATTGCAATACCAACGTTCATAAATATTATTTGTAACATAAACGATCACGTTAAACTGTGTTCGATCGAAATTCGTAACTCTGCATGTAAATCGTAAATTATTGCATGTTTAACGAAATGCAAAATTTGACTAGGAGACATTAAGTAACGACTAGATGTTTAGCATATAAACTTACGTTTAAGCATTTCTCATTTTTTATACCGTGACTACCTGTCATCGTAAATTTGTTGGTATCATCTGGTTACTACCTAACGCTATCCTATTGTAATTCTATCAGTTTACAACTAAACTTAGTCTACAACGTATATGCTCTAAAAACGAAATCACGTATTCGCAAGCTGCGGGTGTTAAAAGTATCAATAAATATCGTTAATTAAAACTGGTAATTGATTATGTTAACTGTATGCTATTGAAAATTCTATTCATCGGTAGAAGCCGTTTTAAAATATCTTCTCTTTAACTTTCAGCGTAACAATCAATATCATTTAACTTTTAAACATAAAAATATACATCTATAAATATTATTTTTGATTGGGAAATACTTTAATTTGTGCGAGCTTTAAATATATGTAACATCTGTAAACTTTGCAAATCATTATAACGTTCATATACTTTGTTATTTCTGCACAAGTTAAATAAGCATAAATAAGTTGTTAAATACATCTCATCGATTAGAACGATATATAACAATTCAGCAGCCTAAAGCTTTCCATTTACAAAATATTCTGCATTTACATTTAATACCTTGTGTCGCTTTAGTGTTTTACGTATATTAAAATCTTTGGTCACATAAAAAATAACAGTTGTAAATCAGTAATTTAAATCTCGACTCGAGAGAAATAATAAATAACGATGAATTATTAGAGTGCCTGGAGACAGGAATTTATAGACAACTAATACTAGAAACTTGAAGAGTTTCAATTATTCCTTGTTTTTAGCGTATTTCGTTTAATCGAAATCGTAAGGCAATTAAAAGCTACGTATGTATTGCAGTCTATACACGCTCCGTGTCTCCATTTCTATATTCAAAATATAACGGGGTTAAAGATAAGGCAGTGTAATGTTAACGTATCCCTACATCAGAGACTATTACAAGATATAAAAAAAACTGAATAAAAATCTTTCCTTCGTTGTGTAAACTGTAGAATTCCAAACTGCATATATATGTATATTGCCTTGTTCTGTTAATTTAAAAAAAGACTATCAAAAGAGTCTCTACCAAAGTAATTATATTCAAGGGGAATAATGATTAATGTGTCTTTGCTTTCTTCTAAAAATAAACGCGAAAATTGAACGGAGCCGCCACCAACGACTGTGTTTACGTACTGAATTCCTCGACCTCTCTTTAGCTCGGATCTGCCTGACTAACGAGTAAAATGCATCGTCTATAAATTGTCTAAGCGCTGCAGACGTTTCATAGAAAGGGCAACCGAGTTGTTCAGCAAGTGCCTTCCCCTCTTCAGTGCTTACCTAGAATATGATTATCACATAGAGGACGATCAATCACTCACAGCCAGAGCAAAGGCTGATGATCTACCTTTCTCTGGTGTTGCAGATCGAATTTATTCCCAACTAACACCATCGGTATATCTTCGTTAGCTCTTACACGCGTTATCAACTTCCTATACTCCAAGGCTTCCTGGAAGCTGTGCCTATCAGTTACAGAGTAACATATCATAAAACCCTCTCCACATCTCATGTACTGATCACGCATCGCCGTGAATTCCACCTATGCATAAAAAACCTGCTGGATAACGAAATACACTCCCATGAAATCATGCTCTACAAGAATAGATTCTGACCTGTCCAGCAGTATCCAATATATCTAAAAGTGCAGCCTCGCCGTCTATGACGGCTTGTTGCCGATAGGAATCCTCTGTCAATAACGAAGTACATTAAATGAAAAGAATTCAAGGCTCCATCCCTAATGAAATTCAAATTCCTTACCTATCGTTGGATCGTGATAATCAAGAAAGCTATGACTGACAAACTGCAGGGTGACCGCTGGAAAGTTGATACCCGTGACACGCGTGTAACAAGTATTTCAAATAAATAAACGATAGAGGAACTCAGCCATACCGGATTTTCCTACACCACCGTCGCCGAGGACGACGATCTTGTAGACCCTGAAGCCACCCCTGGTAGTCGGCTGTGCGATTACCGGTACGTCGTTCTTGCCGTTCAAGGCCACGCTCCTGTCCTGCAGGATGTCAGCTGACATCGTCGCGAAATTTCAGCTTACCGGTACCTCAATTCTCGCCGCGACTACGGTACACTGACACTTTTACGAAACGACTGACATACTTGGTCACGTATCGGAACACGCGTGTAGACACACCCGTATCAGCCGTTGGATCGGGGAAGATACAGTGCATGTTTGATCGCGATATTCAAAGCGGCCCTGGCTCCTCTTCCCGCAACCGCTCGGAACCGCGCCGGGCCGCGTTCAATGGTCGGTATCGATGCTTTTTACAGTTAGACAGAGCATGGCTGATGAGCACAGGGTGACGACCGAGCTTGACAGAACGTGACAGCCAGATCAAGCACGCGCGCAATCGTGCTCTCAGCCTTCAGGATCGTATCTATATCTATACTCGATCCTCATCAAATTCTACATTAACTAATTCAGTACGGAGTCGATGCATCGAACAGAACTACTGATTGCCAAAAAATTCACCTACTCGAATAGATACGACAATCTATTTGTTCCTGCTTTGAGGAACTTGTCTGCAGCATCAGAATTTTCAACAGACCGTGACGTGCATGTATACGATTCCACACGGCTACGACGCTGCGACACAAAGCAGCAAGAGATCTACGTAAATCTAACGGGTGTTGAATAACGAACCTACTCGCTAGTAAGAAACAGCATACACAAACTAGCACAAAGCAAGTTCGCAATAAGTCCTAATTGGCTATGCGTAGAATCAGGATATTATTAGAATAATAGAGTTATGGATAATGTAAGCATATACTGTATGTAGTGGAAACAATGTCGAGCTTCCATAGATATTGGAAATGTATTCCAATGATTATTTAGATAAATATTCGTACGATGAGAAGAGGAAGTTGGACGGTATTGAGGAGACACAGGGTATGGTTGGAAATTGGCGGGGTCCCATGTGTAGAACTGCCGAATAGAAGTTATTTACCACCTTTACCACTGCTTTCATTTGTACATACGTAGCATTTAAGAGAAGCATGTTACATACTTTAATAAGTGAATTTGTAAATAGAGTCGAAGTAAATAGAATAACCTGTGTAAAGTGCGAGGAAGAATATCGAGTATCTGTGGTACGTAAGGTAACTTTCTAACGATTTCAAACTTTGTATTCAAGTTCATTAGTCTCGCCATCTTGAGCAATATGTACCATAACCACATACTCCAATATATTCTACTCTATCTCTAATACTAGTTCTAAATAGATATCCTGCTTAACGAGTAAAGTGAACTGTCATATCTATACATGTATACGTGAATTTCTTTTATGCGTGCCTTCTTTCGAATTACAAGCGTGTACGGAGTTTCGTATCAAAATGCCGTTACTTCGCCCACATTTTAGATTTATCTGTTCACCTTCGTAGCGAATCGACTTCGATACAAACTCGACTAGATGTTGTATTTGAGTCTATTGTGGTTTACAACCCTTTTTGGTTCGTTGTTCGTTGCTAAACGATGAGAACGTAAGGTGTATCGCTACCGTAGCATTCTCGTCTTGAGAGTACTTTATATATTTTGGATTCCGTCGAAATTGTCCAGCGCGAAAACTGATCGGGAGGATTTTCATTTCGCGAGACTGTTTTTCGAAAATAGGGGCGAGAAAAATCGTTAGACTTTTTACTTCGGAACAGGTGAATATGATCGGCCGTGAATCCTTCCAGCTTTCGTAGCGAAAACCGTGTTTTTGTTCGTCGAAAACTCGTTATAAGTTACATGAAATGTAAGCGGTAGAAGAATTGCTCATATATGTACATATTCATTTGTATATAATCTTTATGTAGGGATAAGTGCTTGAATAAACTGATAAATATCTCAGAACACTGCTGTTAGTTTTCCAATTTTTATTAAATCATATTTTATTCGCATAGCAGTAGACAGAACTGGTAAACAGTTTTGTAATGAAGAATGTATCTACGACTATTGATGTGTAAAGCTTGGAGAACATGATATACTCGGCTTTACAAGAATACCAGGAAATCTTAGCCCGACACAAGTTATTCGATGAAACAGACGAACTTATAATGGATGATATAAATAGTATAGACTCGATAATCGACGATGGTTCCGTGGTTTCTAATCTTCCTCTTTTGTTTGCCGATGGGCACCCAACATCGTTGGAAAAGATTACAATGGTAAGAATAATAATTTCCCAAAATTTCGATGGTAAATCCTAATAAAACTGCATTTCTTGCTGTAGACACAGTTAGAACGTTTTGTGACATTCATGGTACAGTGTTCCTTGGTTGATCAAGACACCAGCGAAGGGATCAGTAAGCCACAGTGGTGGCCGAAAGAAATTCAGTTCTCAAATCCTTTGATAAGGCCCAGAAGGCCAAACGAAGTAAGTCTGCTATTAAAATGTGTGAGAATACTGTAACTTATTCAATTGTATATTCTAGAGCTGGATGACCAATTTGAAGAAATTGGTGTTCAGGTGTTATACCTACCACAGAAGCGAATACCTGTTACGTTTTTGTTCGTACCTAGCGAAATACCCAAAGGAGGATCTAGAGTACGTTAACAATTGGGATTCTACAACGAGTCTGTATCAAAAAAATACTGGAAAACTATTAGTTACATTTCGTAACGAGAACATGGTACAAAAAGTGAAACACGACGAGGATGTAAGGGAGAATAGAAAAATTGATGTATCTTGATTATAGGATTACGACAAAAGATACGAGAATATGCGGAAGAAGTTGTTGGGTTGCAGCGGAGTGATCTCCGCCTCCCGAAAGTCGTGGCAACAGCAGCGTTCCATTATGATGGTGCAGCCACCAACGGAGGACATTTATTTATGTGATAATTGCGACGCCGAATTCGTAGGCGTGGACAAGATGAAAGTATGTTAAGTGGATTCTCGAAAGATTGCAATGTTTGACCAAATGATATTTCGTAGGAACACGAACGCGTGTGCTACGTACAGACACACGTTGGAGATACTTCGCGGTCCACAACGCCAGACGTGTCGGCCGTGGAGCCCGATTTGAAGCAAGATAATTTCTTGGAATATTTTCGTCTACGTTCAACGACAAAATCCGAACCGGAATCAAAGACGGAACCGAAACTGGTCGAAATCGTAAAAGATCCTATAAGTACCGACAGCATTAAGCAGCAACGTAGCTCGCGCCGTGTTCGTGGATCTATAAATTTCGCGAGATGTCCGACTATTCCTTTCTCTTCCCCTGCTGGTCTGTTGCTAGCTAAAAACTCGAAAGCAATGACGGAGGAAACTCAACAAGAAAGACTGGAGAGAATAGAGAGACACCTCATTGCGCCAGTTTTGACTAGTACGTCCAAGCCGAAATGGTTGGAAACGGAAATGGACAACAGTAGATGGATCGTTACTTATCGGGAAAAAGATCCGAATAATTACGTGCACCAGTATCAATTTATAAATTCTGTTAAGCGAAAACCTAGTGAGTATCTCGTTTTTAAACGAAAGATATCCAGCTTCTTTCGCTTAATAGAAGGTATTCTCTTTTTCAGTGCTGAGCATACAATCACAATTATTGTACGTCGTATGCCGACCTGTCAGTGTTCTTCTGTCGCGAGTTACTTCGGAGGAACTGAACGATCTCCAACGAGACTCTTTAAAACATCGGTGCCTTGTTGAAAACGTTGATAATAAGGAATCAGTGACCAAGGAAAAGGAGCAGAAACCGAGACCGAACTTTTCGTTGAAACGGAAGGCCCCGAACGACGAAAGTGACAACGTGATTGGGGCGGAAAATGGCAAGGAGGTACTTAACAATGAAGCAGAATTATTAACTCTTAGCGAAGATAAAAAATTTCGCGAAGAAAATAATATCACTATGGTTAAATCGATTAAAGAGGGACCGACCTTGTACGCGAAATCAACGCAAGCGATCGCATTGATCAATCTTTGCTCTTCGGACGAAGAAGACACTCCTCCGCCCGCTCCCGTATCTTCGAACGAGAATAAAGCCCCAATTAACTGTATGACTGGTACCGTTACGGATTCGCAAAAACGGTTGTTGCAAAAATTTTCGTCAACTAAGTTTCATATGTATTCGTCCGACTCAAGAAACGAATGGTTGTCGAACGAGGCGTTTAATGTCGGCTGTGACAACCTGTATAATATACAAACGAGCACGATGTTGAATACGCATACGAGTTTATCTCCAGTCGTTAGATCGGCACCGTAAAATATTAGTAATTTCATTGCTCGATATCATACTCATAAGCATTATTAAATTTGTTCTAGTATTTATTGTTTCGCCTTTGTACCATTAAAGTATTTAAACGACGTTACTTTGTTAAAATATGTGAACAAGAGTCTCATCAATTGTATAATAACTTAAACAAATTACGTTTCAAATAGAAATGCGTTAAACAAAGCCCTCAGAGCAGAACGCGAACTAACTCACATTTTTAGCAACTGAGTATGCTGAACGACAATGGATCTCCTTATATCTATATTATTATTTGGCGAACATTACTAGCTTAGATTTAGATTTAAATTCATTTTGAGTTCGGAACGAATGTGACTTAGACCAGTTTTGCTCTTAAACGACGTTCTCCATAAAACGTAAGCAAATATACAAAGTTTTATATATTATGTACTACTGCAAACTGCGAACAGTAAAGAACAAAATAAAAAGAAAAGTGGATATGTTTCGTAATCGATCTTGTTTCTCTCATTTCAAGATTCTAAGAACGATTTTTATTCGGATGAAAAAATACAAACAAATAGAAAGATTGTTCTACTCTTTCTTCTCCTTCGACCTAGACACTTTTTTTAGTAGGAATGCAACTAGTTTCTCTTTCCAATCCATCTCGACGCGTTTTAAACCTAATCTCTTGGTCGTGATATTATGTAGAGGACCAAATGCTAAAGCGACGGCTGTACAAGCTAAACAGATCACGTTAAACGGCATACTGAAATCTGGCGTAGGTAAAACGATTAGCAAAGATTCAGTTCTCAGTTGCGCCAGGTATCCCTCTCTCGAAGCGTTGAAGCTAAAAATCGAAATACATTTCTGTCAAAATGCATCCAAATCGCACTTAGTTAATTAATAAAATTAACTATCAATTATTCTCAACCTTGACGTTATGGTACTCCCATCGAGTGGTAACGCGGTATAATTCCTTGCAGTCGGAAGTAACGCAGTGATCACAGCAGGACCCATATAAAATCCATGATTAGCATCAGGCGGATATTCCTGCCACTTGAGAAACGAATAGTCCATATCTATTGAAAATTTAACTACCGATTGCGGCGGTAAACGCAAAATGAATTCTAGATAATAAGGACTTTTCCTCTCTCTGCCTGGCAGATAACGTTGCGCCACTAGAATTCGAAGATTCAATGAAGGGTGAAATCCGCATCCATACCGTAACGATATAAGTACAATCACTTACACGGCACTATGGTCTTCGTTCCGCAAGTTATTCTAACAGTATGTAAGTACACTGGCAAATACCACGGAATATTTTCTAACAGAACGATATCGAGAGTTTGCCAGTAGTTATTGTAAATTTTTGTAACTAAACTCCCTCTCTCTTGTCCATACCCTGTAGGAAACAATGTATTTGATACCTCTCTCTAAAGCGTTACCGTTATTTTTTTATGAGTATACGAACCGATCACATATCTATTTGCAAATAAAATGGAAGGATAATTCAAGCTAGCTTTCTGAGCACCCCGGTGCACGACACCGATATTGAATATTCCCTTGGCGGAATGAGATCTGATATCGTAAATTGCTAGCTCGTTCAATTGTCCACCTCGAAGACTAACGATCTTAGCACTAGGCGGAGGTACCAATTCGTAGATCCGATTGGTATTGTTATTAGATATATCGATGTACACGTTGCTTAGTGTAGCTAGAGGACACGCTGCTTTGATACCCAATCCGAAAAACTTGCGAATCGACCAATCCTGTGAAGAAAAGTTTGGCCAGTGCCAAGGAACATCAAAGTATTTTGTCATGAATTTACCTGCGATGTATCTGTTACGGTGTCGTATATCAGCGAAACGGACTGTCGCAATTCCATCGATGTTTTAGTACACAACGCGTTCGAGCATATAACTCGAAAATGCACTCCAATCGAGTGATAATTCGTATCATGAATATAAGCAGAATTTAACAAAGTTGCCAAGCCTTTCTATGGAAATTCAACACGTATCAATAACGTTCATACCGAATGACTTGAGGTCCTATTTTCTACACATACCTTGGAGTTACATGGCAACAGTTTTTTAAACGGAGTTAAATTCTCAGTACAGACTATTTCTCTTGGTAACGATGAATACCGCAAATGACTAGAATTGACATTGTGCTCTACTACACCAGTAGGACGGAATGTGAATTCTGGAGATAAACTATTCGACGGATTAACAAAATTCAGCGATGCACAGAATAAACCTGCTAACGCATTTGTCAATCCTTTCCATTCGTCGTCGACGCTGCGATAAGAAATAAAATTACTTCTCCTAGACCTATCTTACATAGAATACGAGTTTCTTACTTAACGACGTCTCTATGAAACCAAGCTGATATCTCAGCACCAGGACCAGCATCGTGATAAGGGTATCCCCAATTTTGGTAATTCCACAATCCTTTTGTCAACGTAAGATGTAATTCATCTACATTATGACGACTTATGATCTCACCGAGACCTCTTGGAAACAAGTGAGAATGTTCGACTGCGATATGAAGATACACAATTGGAGATCAATTATGTTACCATACGTGGTTATTTTAAATGATCTTTAACTTACAAGTATTCTTATCTTTCGTCGCCTCCCATACAGTAGTGAATTGAAAGTATGCATAAACGTGATTGCTTGGTAATGGTTTTAACATTAATTCCTCGTCGAAAAAGTCATTTTGCGAGAGAACGAATTTGATATCGATGAGAATACAAAGTAACAACGTTTTTATAATTGATGTCATAGCGACTGATAGATTTTTATACCGGTATTGAGGTTACAAGCATTTGTATCTCAATACTCAGTCGTTTTAACGTTAAAAGTACAGATTTCGTTAAACAGAAAAGGATTATCACCCATTTGCATAAATGTTTAAGTGATTTAACATCAAGAAATGTATGTACATAAATACGACAATCTCCGCGCGGTGATACTAGCTAAAATTCACCGAATCCACTAGTACAGAAAGAGGAACGACGTTGAAAACGTAGTCAGAGGCTCAGAGGATCGATAATTCAACGTATTAAATAAATATCAATCGTGAAGTTTGTGTACAGAAGGAATCGAGTGTTCTCGGTGTTAACTATACAAAGGAAACAAATTACTCGCTAACTATGGAGCCGGAGGAAGGAGAAACGTATCCGAAACAGGCAACGGGAATGCGCGGCGAAAAGAATCCAGCTATCGACTACGATGAAGACAGAGTAAGGTTAGACTTAAGGTGACCCCGTAGGATGATTATCTCTTTCTTGGAATATTGAAACGTGTAGCTAAAACATGTCAACGAATCTCGTGCGGACATTAGACGCGTTAACAATGACGATTTCAGCTACACGAGATGACGGCATCTTATTCAGAAATATCGTTCGATTCGCAATCGTCTCCGCCCGTTTCGGAGCTAAGATCACTGATCGATTCCCCAGATATAGACGGAACGAAATTTTTGGATGGTAGCTTGGAAAAGATGAACGGAATTGGCGGGAGGCCAGATCAGTTAAATCTGAGAAATAGGGAAACGAGTCCGATCGAGGATGAGGACGTGACAGATGCCCCGAGTTATCACAAAGCTATGGGATATTTGCAACTCGAGGGGACCGTGATGCAGGACGGTGACATGGTGTTGTTTGTCGCGGAGGATTTAGAAAATAAAATCAAACTCTCGAGCCCCGTGACGAAGAAAGGGGAGACTCCTTCCTTCCCGGGCTCCCGTAGTTCTACTCCTTGTTTGTACCGACAAGCGTTGACACCCCAGGTGCCACTTCTCGATCACAACGTTTTGAACGAGTTAGAAATGGAAGCGAGGAAAGTGGCCACCTCGGTCGACGCGTTGACGGAAAATTTAGCTGCGATCTTGCACAGTGTAAAATATTATTTTTTAAAAAATAGAATTTTCTTCTCGACGAGTTTTGGGCAATCGATGATACTTTTCAGGCGTCTGCACTCACTGTCGGTTGTTTAGAAACGTACAGGGATGCAGTTTGCAAAACGTGCGATGCGGTCGATCACAATATTAAATCGATGTACCAATTAATGGCGAAATGCGAGGAACTATCGAAATCAATGGGGCCTGTGTATAAATTAGCAGAGCAAATGCAAGTACCAAGATGATTACGTACTACAAAGTATACAGATCCTATGTTATCATCTCCAAATTTCGTAAATTTCAGCAAGGAAATGAAAAGAATGTTGGAGCTGTTCGAAAGCGCGATGAATCTCTAAACCGTTTTACCTTGAAGATTTTCTATCTTGTATAATTACGTTAATACTTATCGTTAAGTTGAATATATATCGTTCGAAACAATATACATATATTTGAGTATTATGCATTTCCACCCTACGTCTTAATTAATTTATACGTTGAATAAAGCAATACAGCAAGTTATTGACGCGCTCTTTTATTCTTTGACCATAAATGGACACCTATTAAATCTCTTGCCGCGGATCCTCGTTTTCAGGCTGACTTGCTCGTAACTTATTCATTACGAAACAGCATATTGTTAGGGAAACGATTTACGCGAATTGTTCGACGGATGTGTTCACAGCCGTAAATAACATTATCAAAAAGCTCGAGCGTCGGAACGCGCGGCTCATTTAACGTATTCGTAATTATTAAAAGGCAGGACGATTTTAATCCAAGCTGGGGTTGCTGATCGCGGACAAACACCTCGTTAATTTATTCTCCTGGCTCGACGCTTATTGAGACCGCAGAAAGCAGATGTGTAAGTACTTACATGTGTACGTCTATCGGTGTGTTCCTCGTACCACAGGCTTGCCCACGCTCTCTGCACATTTTCAATTCCCGTCGATGAACATCAGTCCTCTTTCTCTTATCCTCGCCTCTGTCACTGTCATCCATACACATACACACGCACAACAGACAGAACACGCTCACGCATACTCGCTCGTGCACGCACGCTCTCAATGAAAGCGAACGGCCGACGTTATTCGCGAAACGTTTGAATTATAAGCATTTTCAATGCCATTGCCATTTTCCCTGTGTCTTCGTGTATTGGTTAAAGAAACCACGTTTGTTCCACCGAAATCGCGGTGGAAGAAACGAACAAAGAGCACGCGATCTCAATTAACGTATTTCATTTACCATGTATCTTTCGAACAAACCCTGTATGAAAGATATTAAAATAAAAATCTTACCGAATGCCGTACGTACCTAGCTTAGCCGAGGCCTCCATTGAACTGCACGACACGCGGCTGCGATCGATATATATCGATCCTCGATTGAACGTAATAAAATGGAGATTCGCAAAAGAATTCAATTACTACACTTTCTGAATAAATTTCGTGTGTAAAATGTTGAAATAAAAATCTTTTATCAAATTACGTACGACATACGTAATATGAATGAGATATATCGAACGTGCGATCGATCTCCATCGAACCTGTGATCACTCGTATGTGACAAAATGGGGGTTCGCAGGACAGAAAGCAAGGTACGACAATAAGCGGGGTTGAAAAGGAAAAGAAAAATGGTAGGGTATATCATAGACTGCCTAATTAAAAGGTTCTTCGTCACACGGGATTCGCTTTCTTTCACATCAGGATGCGGTGAAGTCTCAGGATACAGGCGACGTCTCACTGTCGCTTTTGTCCTGTCCTTAACTCTGTCGTGCATGCATGCTACGAGCATCCGTTTGTGGTCGCCAGGTAATGAGACAGGGCCTTTTTTTTTAATATTATTGTCTCTTCGGGTAGGAGTTGGTCTTTTTAATTATTAACGAGGTGCACGTTATAATAGGACATAGTTTCGGCGCGACGATTGTCAGTTTGAAATGTTCGATTATTCGTTGGGGGTCTAAGCAAACGTATTGTTTGCTGGAACAAATCGGGGCGAAACCCGGCTTAACGAAACTCAAACTTTAAAGAACCTTCAAGAACTGGCTAATTAAATTACGATTCGCAAATTAACTTTGATAATTATAAGTAGGCTTCGAGTGGATCGTGCGAAGGGAAGGGAAGAGAAGGGTTGGAGAGTTGGGATTACAAACGAGACGGTGCGGCGGCGGGAACTTGGCAACTTTTCAGTCGCTCTTTACACAACTTTTCTTGTTAAGATCGTGATTATGAATTTTTATTGGATTGTCCTTACCTACGAACAACCGATTTGTTTCCTTACCCGTGCAAGCGATGTACGATGTGCATCTAGAATCCTCTTCTTTTCAATCAACGCTCTAATAAAACGTGTCGTTCGGTTATCAATAAGAGACGTGGCGCGAGATAGATTCGATGGGATGAAAAGTGTTCAAAGTAACACGAAGCAGGGTACGCGATAGTTATCGGCACAGGGGGAAGTTATCGCTGCTTGTGCATGCCACAGCTATCGCGGAGCGTAGCATTGCAAACGGTACTTTCGGATAATCAGCATTTGTGTAGCTCTCTTTTGCTCTTTGTGTCACTCGTCCGTCTCTGAGTCGTCGAGTCAAGGTAGTACATATACATAAGTACGTATGTATCTCGTTCCATTCCATCCCATTCCATTCCATTCCATTCCGTTCCGTTCAATCCTGTCGCGTCCGTTTCTCCTGAAACCATTTCTCTTCTCTCCTCGCGCCTCACTTCACTCGCTACTCTTCGCAGCGTTCAACTCCCAACAGTTGCAACCAACGCGACTATGGTCGTCCGACTTCGACGGCCGGTTACGCTTCGTCCTTCTCTCTCTGCTTTTTTCTCCCCCGCGTCTTCGTCGTGCGCGCAGAAAACTATCTTCCCTCTTCGTTCGCTTTCTCTATCCTTTCTCCGGGCAGGCAGCGATAGCTCGATTTCGTTCTATCGCGCACTCGAGACACGCCTCCCACTCGTGGCCGCCGCGCGGCTGCTGTTGAATTTAGTCGACGCCGAGCCGGCACGCGTGTTGGCTGAGAAGTATTTTTCTCGCGCGGTATTCCCGGTTGCGACGCGGCTGGAGCTCGTCTCGTCTCGCTTCGCCTTTCTCGCCTCGTTTTCTTCTCCTCGTCGCATCCGGCAGTGAATTCTCGCCTACCGTGAACGCGAAACCTCGTCTCGCTTTTCGTAGCCGTGAATCCGGTACGCGAGGAGGAAGCGCGTGCACAGCGACGATGCTAGATCATCGGAGCGAGTATGATCTAGCCACACCGCGCCGCGTGTGAATGCGATTATTTACTCGCCGATTGTTGCTACGAACAAGTGAGGAAAAGTGTTGAGTGGGAAGTTCGCCGGCGTAATTACTTTCGTCTCGCTCGTTCATCGGCCCTCCTCCTTAACCCGTACACGATTATACCGATCTTGGCTTCGCATCTGTACTTGAGAAACGTCATTGGCACACTTTGCCATTCCATCAACATCCGCTTCTAGACATGGATTTTGTGATTCTCAAGGTAAGACGCTTTCTTCTAACGTTATTTCTCATGTATCTAATCGTGTAAAAGTTCATTCTATGTTGTTTGTAAGGAAGCGTGTCGTTACGAACTTCGACAATGATCCTATAGTCTCGTAACGAATATAAACATCGTATGTGTATATTCGGTACGAAAAGTTTTCAGCCGGATTTTAAAATTCTATTGTTGTTCCGCACTTATCTACGAGGTATAAAGCTGTGTAAGTACACGTTGTGCATAGCATACAGTTCCCTCGACCGCTGTTTCGGATTCGATGTGGAATGTAAGCACGTACAAAGAATATCGAATACGATTCTCTGTGCCTCGGGTAGCGATAACGAACTCTCGTTGTTTGTCGCTGACCGAGGATGAACAAAGAGCCGCTTCTTTTTTCTGAAAATACTTCTTAATTAAAAAATCGGTTTGTAAGAAGACCCAGAAACGCGGAGGAGCTTCGTGGGACAAGATTCAATATTTGCGAACGAGATCTTTCTTTCTTCGTAACAAGGTTGAACAACCTCGTTGTCGATCAACACCTTCATTATTTCCCGTTCTCAGCGCATAGCCGCACGTAATTGAGGGATTATGAAAAGATTTACGCTTAATTAGTCAGCCTTTCGGATCTGGCTATGTACATAACAGTATTTATATGAAATTGTGCATATGTACAACACGTTTCGGAAGCGTATCGTTCGAAGCACCTGCGTCGTCTCGTTCTTATCGTGTTCGAACTCGAGGAACAAGTTCGCGTCAGATAAACAAAGCGATAAAAGAAAATTTCCAAGAAACGCTAAGGGCCAAGGTATATAAGTTTACTGACGGTCGTCGGTTATCCACGTTCCACTATATACATATGTATATGTATATACATGTATATACTTGTTCCGTTTAATTTTAGCACTCGCGATGCGATCTAGGGGATGGATCTTCCTGTCCCTCTGTTTACCAAACGGACGGATCAGGTCGAAAACCAGGTCCCGTTGAATCGAACAGCATTTCAATTTAACACGATGGAAACACTGCAAAAGATTTATACATAATCTCGTACACAAGTACATTAATACAAATGCAAGGGTGGGACACGATGCACGGGGGGTGTACCATAGTTCGGTTGAAATGGGGAGGATATCAGCTAGTTGAAGGGTGATTACGGAGCGGTAAAAAGGACCGTTTAAGTTTGTAAGCGTGAAATAACGGCGCGTCGTTGAAGCACGCCTGCGGGTGTCGCGAAAATGTCGTCGCGCGATTTCGAGCGTAGGCACTCAAGCTGCGCTGGATAATGGCGGAACAGACCCTACTGTAAGAAAAGCAAAAAGCACGCGACGATAAAATCTGCGTGCGGCGGATCGGACCGAGCAAATTGCGATGGCAACGCTCCGCTGGCATTCGCGAGCTCGTTGCCAGATATCTAAACGTAATTTAATTGAGTGTGATACATTGTCACATCTTGTTGAAGTACACTGTTTGTACTTTCAAAGTTCTGGGCAATTTACGAAGTTTAACTTCGGATGTTCAGGTCTGGCTCAGACTGTAGACACTGCTAGTAGTGCACCGTTATTGGTTTCATATAGATCGTTCCAGCTAACTACGAGTTTAATCTTTGCCTTACTAGGATCGGCAACTTTATTAACGTTCGAACTCGTTACGCTCCCTTTTATGCGCGATATAAAGGGTTCGTGTGTCCGGTATCGGTAAGAGAGTCATGGAAAGGAGAGAGAGAAAGAGAAACGAGAAGGGAAATTGCTTTTGCAGTTTACGGGGACTCGGATCCAGCGGGATTGTATAGCGGTGTCGGGAAGTCGCGAGATTTCCAATTAGCTCGTTCCTCGTGGCACTGTCTTGTAACGATGCGATCGCGTCGATGAAACGCGTAAAGTGTTCGTTACGGATAGCAGGGGGTAGCGGAGAGAAGGGCGGAGAGAAGGGCGGAGAGGAGGAGAGGAGATGCAAAAATTACTTGACAGCTGGGAACGATGGAAATATTTTAATTCCTTTCTTCGAACACTCCCCGCACTCGAGATAATTGCCATTTGCGCCAATAAAGCCGGAATCTCGGGAGTTCCTCGGTACTTACTCCTCCTGCTCGTCACCGTTGTTTTCCCCCTTTTCCCTTTCTTCTCCCTACTCTTTCTGGCCCCCACGCAGCCTGCCACTTCGTACGCTTTGCTTCCTCTTCATCTCCTGACACCGTCCTCTTTCTCTTATCGGCCTCTCCCTTTCTTCGCGTTTCCCAACATCGTTCGATTCTACCTGACGGTGTCGACGGATCCCACCGCGATTTTCGGATAACAACCCTCTTCCCCAGCTGTCCGTCAATCATCGGTATCTGCATATTAACACCGGACGATTTATCTTGTAGCTACAAGCAAACTCGTGTATACGTTCCTCGTGTCTACAGACTGTCATATCAATTTAGACCGTGTTTAATCGCGTATCGATAAAAATATTTTGATGCGAATATTTGACTAAAGTTAAATGTACGTCGAACATGGAAACGGATAAAATAATAGCGGAAGTGTATCTATATGTAGATACGGAGCAGCGCGGAACTCGGGTCGGCGGGCTGGGCGAACGCGCGTTCATCGAGTATCCTCTCTTTTCACTTCGCGGCTTTTCGTACCGATGTTTACAGCATGCCGTGTAAACATAGTCGTTACTCGATAAATTGATACAGGATGCAGTTTGACCGTAGGTACGTGTACTTTTATCGATCCGCGTTGGACACGCGCGCGCGACATGCACACGCGGGCACGTATGCACGCGGTCTCGCACGGTAATAACACTGTTTCCATCGTAAGTTCGTCGGGACGTTTTAATTAAACGACCGCCGGCACCATCGGCTTCCGATCGCGGATATTAATCGTGTAATTTCGGAATCGCCGATGGGTATTGGATCGGCTAACTCTCGACCCATTGCTCCTCCTTGCAAATGTTCTCGGTTCAGCTAATCGTAACAAACAGATGAAATTAAATACACAGTCGCATTGGAAAATATTATTTCGTAAAACAAGGTGGAGATGATCCGTTATCTACTCCCGTGTTTATTTCATCGAGTTTCATCGTCGTTCATTCACGCAAATGTTTTCATTCAATTGATCCTAACGGGGAAACCGAAAAAGTGAAATGTACAACTGATTGTGAGTCATAGGAGATTTTAGATTGTCCTGTTTTGCTGTACGGCCGCCGGTGTCGAATGATTTTCGTTCTGGTTCTCGTATTACTCCCCGAAAAGTGGGCTTCGCGCGTACAGCTGGCAAAACGAGGGAAAACATAGGGGGTGACTTTTAAGCCGTGCGAGCGTATCGTGTGACCGTAAGTTGGGCAGCACAGATTTTCCTCGCCACTTTCTCGAGTTTCGTGTTTCATCTACTCTATCGGGCCCTCCCCCTGGCAACTACAGAGAACTCTTTCTTCGCGTTGTGTACATTTCGATTTCCGATGGCCCAATATTCCAATCGCTCCCTAAGTAACGACTCCGCGCGATGCGTATGGTAATGTTACCATTTTGTGTACCGACAAACTATCCAGGTTACGGGATTTTCGCCTCTTTGCCGCGTTTTCTTTTTACCCTCCACCTTTGGATAGGTATTCGATGGTAGATGGATATTTGTACATCGGCATGCTGCGCCGGGATATTTTCGGAACAAGCCCTACTGATTTCTCGGGGGGTTAATTTGGGCCACGGCGCTGTTCTGTAATTTCGGATTTTTGCTTTCCGAATGCTCTTTCACGCTCGACGTGTTCCAGATTCGTTACAAATCTCATGAAATTGCTGAAAACTCGTGAAACATTTCGTTCTTATTACCGCGAACCCAGGTCATAAGTATTCCGTGGCGCGCATTCATTTTGATTCGATTCGAGCTTACGATTAATTACCTTTCTTGGTCTCTCTCTCTCTCTCTCTCTCCGGCCGTCTCGTTCATTCCGTGGGAGACATCGTTAACTGGATATCGATCTCGCGAGCAACCACGTTCGGTTTTATCGAAAATGGGTACGCCGTGCTTGGAGCTCGTTAGTGCGCTAAAACTCGTTTAGTAGCGATAATAATGCGTGTCGAGCGGCGTAGGAAATCGTTGTTGGGACGAATGAATGGGAGGAGAGTAGGGGGTTTTTAGAAGAGAAGAGAAAAAAAAAAGAGAATTACACAAGTACGCGTAGCTACGATCGTCGGTTCGATCGATTGCTCGTCGTTAATTTCTGCGTAAATGAGAGGCGAGAAGTCGCGCTGTTTCTCCCCGGAACACTTAAGATGCGGTAAAGAGGATAAAGTTGAAAAGTTACTGCGCGATACGTGGCTGAGTTAGTTTTCTCTCAGGGAATCGAACGGTCTCGTGGCGTGGAAATAGGTCGATTCGATTGGTATAAAGTGCGATACAAAAAGAGCAAGACGGGCGAGCCGTGGCGCGAGCCCGCAGATGCATTTATCGGTTGTATTACGAGCGTCGGGGAATCACGAGTAGGCGGTTATTCAGTAACTATATTCGAACACGAAATCATTAAATAAAGTGGGCTTAACGAATGCACAAGTGCATAATCGTTGCGCCTCCCGCGCTACATTTACACGCGTTTCCTCGTTTACTTCCCGTTCCCGTTCCCATCCCCGGCGCTCGACAGGCTCGGAATCGCGTCAAATTAATTTCGTCGAGCGTCTCTGCATTCCCATTATCGCGTATATTCCCACGGAACTAGAGAACCCCGACCGCGCGCGCGACCGAACAAGAGAGAAGCGCAAAGCTATTCCCTGAGCCATTCTCAGTCCTCGATTATATCGCGCATCGACGATTTTTCCTATCCACATTCGTCATGCCTCATTTTACGTTCGCACACGCCTTTCCTTTCCAAACTCGAAAAAAGAGCTCGCAATTCATGGGTAATTCAATCCTCCAGATTTACGAGTATCTATTGGTAAATATATTTAATCGTCGTTTCATCGAGTTTAATTTATTTCCCGTGTTTCTCGTCTCGTCACGAAAGCAATCGTATCGGTTTTAAAAAATGTT